AAAACTCGTCATAGTTCAAGTATATCAAGTTGACGTGTTTACGTGCAGGCGTAACAACATTCAACATCAATTCGGAGACTTACCGTGGTAGAATTCCTTCTCTGATTGATTTCTTCACAAATACAACACCATTAGGTGAAATGTTCACATTTGAACCGATTCTCTTTATATATGATTCGAGATTTTAATAAAAAAGAATGTTGATATGTTGATATTACTGATAAAGTTTATTGAAAGTTTAAATCAGAAAACGAAAAACAAACATTCTCATAACTCGAACTCATTAAATGAAAAATTATTGATTGCCGTAGAAACAGTTTAAAGTTTCCTCATTTGGGAACTTTCAAATGTCAATAATCTCTTGTTTAAGTAGTCAATATTCGAATCATCCAAATCGTAATTGATCAGCTAATCATAAAGAAATACTGTCTAATTATAGACCAATCAAAAACCAACAAAATATCAGTGGAATAATGCCCTCTAAATTTCGTGAAAAAAGCGTCATTATGACTCAAGGTCATCATCATCAGAGGATTTTGCATTTACAGTGTGAGAAATTCATGTTTAGAGATTATACTTACGACCAAGGTGGATCCGATGCAGGGGACGTGAGGGCGAGGATCGACAAAGCAAGGACTGCATTGGAAAATATCTGGAACTCCAAACAAATATCAATCAACACAAAAATCAGGATATTCAAAAAAAGTCTCAAGACAGTTCTACTGTATGGAGCGGAAACATGGTAAACTACCAAAGCCATCATCTACAAGATACAAGTGTTTATGAACAGTTGTCTACGCAAAATACTTTGGATTCGTTGGTCAGACACCATCAGCAACAACGTACTGTGGGAGACAACAATCAATTCTCCAGCGGAGGAGGAAATCAGGAAGAAGTGGTAGAAGTGGATAGGACACACACTGCGAAAAGCACCTAATTGCGTCACAAGACAAGCCCTCACATGGAACCTTCAAGGCAAAAGGAAGAGAGGAAGGCCAAGGAACACGTTACGCCGAGAAATAGAGAAATATATGAGAGGAAGGAACAAAAATTGGATAGAACTGGCGGAAAGAGAAGCCCAGGGCAGGGTTGGTTGGAGAAAACTGGTGGGCGGCCTATGCTCCACTGGGGGTAACAGGCGTAAGTAAGTAAGCAAGTACTTATAAGTAGTCAGGGTTCATACCCTTTTCCTCGTATCTTATTAGCAGAATTGTTTATCGACAAACTGGCTTTCTTCATATTAGTTGAATTGTAATTTGCATGTACAGCTATGTTGTAGTCATCATTTTTCACGTTGAACTGTAGTCACTATCTTATTCACTGTGAATGTAAACTGAAATTTAACTGAACCACACTGATATAGAATATATATGTATGCGTAAATATTCCCGAGTAATCAGTAAAGTCCACTGGTTTAAATAGATCACAATCGAGTTATTCAGGTGAATTAAATTGACAGAGGATGTTGTATACATGTTGCAGATTATAACATGGATGGTTTCATTGTGAGGCTTTCAGTGTTCTTTTGAATATCATCAGTATATTCTTCTGATGTTGATTAGACGAACAGTAAAAACTTTATCATTGATCCAACCAGTTCAGAGACCACAACATCAATAATAATGTGTTTGCTGTTTATCAACAATACCATACGTATAGTCCTTGGACCAATGAATACATTTTGTTAGGATATTCACCAAATATCTATCCTAAGAGTACTATTTTTGGAAGTATAATCCTATTGGTCGATTTCTATTGGTCAAAATTATGGTCGTTTTATTAACTGTCAAAGTCTAAAATACTTCAACATTGTCTCTTATTGGTCATCTGGACTGTCAAAGTCATTTCAAATGTTCTTTCCTATTTGCCGTACTAAACTGTCAATGTCACAGACCTTGATGCTCTTTCCTATTCGATTTAAATGTATAAATACGCACTATCTGTAAGACTTCATGATTCCGTTTCTTCCTGCCTACCTCTCTTCTGTACTCGACCCAATCAACAACTCCATCCAACGGTGTTGCGTTCTGATATAAAGGAGATTTAGGGAATAGTATTTGGGTCGTATTGGAATATTTGAATTCGGATGCCGCTAGGACTGAATAGCTATATGTAGCAGCATTATAACACTTTTTTACGTAGTTATCATGCAAAACGGATTTTTAAAGAAAATGAGATACCGGTCATGTAAATTATTTAAACACGTAAACCTCCGGTACCAAATGGGAACTTAAATATATATGTATGCCAGAAATCAAATTTATCTGTGGGTTAAGTTTCCAAAACGAAAAACAGGTTTACCTAGTGTCGAGGACGTCCTAATTTTGAATTTTATGTTTTCGTGCACCAGCTGATCAGTTGATCTTGGGACTACATTTCCCTCCCAGGAAATCCCTGACTGTTATTGACTGATGTATTATTTTAGTACGCAATATATTGTGGCTCTCCCAAAGACGTTTGTATCATGTATAAATAAACTCGATTTGTGTGTTTGAGAACCTGGTATTTTCTGAGCGCCTCAAGAAAACATTATCTCTACGCCTTATCAAGACTTCTTGATCTAGTTATCAGGGCCTGGGACAAACGGATTTGAATAACCTATCGTGTCAATACATCATTTGTCTTCGCTATCGTTTAACGAGTAAGGTGAATTCGTAATCGTTCAAGCATATAAGTGGACGAGCATAACACCTAGATGGGTCACTCCCCAAGTCTTTAACCAAGAGGTTTGTTCCACAATGCAGCGGAACAACATCAGAAAATGCATTCCCACAGTAAATTATGGTCGATAATGCGTTCGTATACCATTAGTTGCTATGAAATCCTCGAGACCATGTGAACTAGTGGTTCGGAATAAGGGTTTTCAATACCCCTTTACATGAATCCTCTGCACTGCCCGACTAGGTTTAAACCCAAAGAATATAATCGCTTTTCATTCTCGCAATTTCGTAGACAACATTCCTGTCACAAGAAGGTAGTGAGTAGAGAATTTTCCAAAGGGCAGCAGGACCATTTAAAGACAAAGTTGAAAATTCACTTTAGTATAATAAAAAACTCAATCAAAATAGAGTCATGCAACTCTCCCCAGTAAAACTCACATTGATTAGACCAGATGGAAGTGAATGAGATAAACAGCCAAGATTGAATACAGCATCTTCACTTGATGATGATTACATGCAAAGTGAAAAAAAAACAAATTGAAATAAATAAAACTACAAAATGTATGCCATTCAAGTAAAGTTGAATGATTGAAATGGTTGAAAGATGAAAACAGCCTATCAAAAGTTGGACAATTTACAATACAGAATTCATCTTTTTTTTTCTTGTAGGACAGATAGACAGACAGATACAACGCACAGAACTTGGTACATAAGTACATCAGTTCAGGTTGCCATACCACAACATTAGCACAGAGACGCAAATGTCAGTTCAAATCCAAGAGTGATAGTGATAGTAGAAGTATTAGCAGTAATCGAGAAGGTTAGGGAGCGCAGATATGATTCGAGGAGTATAATTCATTGAGATAAATGTAGAAGGAGAAATGTAGAGATGATGAGGAATTCAGAAGGTCAAAATTAGAGAGAACACCATTGCAAACGATTCTGAGCCATGTCGTTCAAGGTCTCTAACCATTGGTAACTTTCGTCTCGTGAACTCCAACCAGGTAGTCGACATCTACCAACATGATTCAGTTCACTTGTCAGTGATTTCATGGATTTCTGCCAGGTTTTGGTCTGGCTGCCCCTACCTTTCTTCCAACCTACTCCTCCACTACAAAACATAGCTCGACGAAGCAGTCGGTTGTTAGGCATACCTAACACATGTCTCAACCACCTCAACTGATGAAGTTTCATTACTTCATCTATTGACCTGCCAACCTTACCTGGAACTCGTTTCCTAACTATAGCATTGCTACGTTCTAACTGACTGCCTGAATCCTACATCGTGTATTGTCTCCCCCGATGCTGCTGGGATGAGTCGGAAACAACAAGATAACTACTGGTCAGTTTTCGATATGATATCGAAGTATGAAAGGGAGCAGTATAAAACTGATATCTGTTTTAGATGAGGTTTTAGAGATATCTAATTTGATTTTGATTTCTTTTAAAAATGAGTCAGTCAGTCAGATGCAACGTAGAACTTCGTACGTATGTACATAAGTTCATGTTACCATAATACATTAGCACAGAGACGCAAATGTCAAATCAAATCCCATAGTGATTAAGATAGTAGAGGTATTATTGGTAATGAAGAAGACTAGAGTTTGAAGATATTATTCAAGAAGTATAATTCAGCTGACGAATCCAGAAGATGAGGATTTGAGAGTGCACAACGAATGGATGCACTTGCGCCATTGCAAACGATTTTGAGCCATGTCATTCAAGGTCTCTAACCATCGATTATTATCATCTCGCGGACCCCAACCAGATAGTCTACATCTACCAACATGACTCAATCCAGTTGTTAGTGACTTCATTGATTTCGGCTATATTTTGGTCTGGCTCCCCCTGGCATTCTTCCAACCTACTCCTACATCACAAGACATAGCTCGATGAGGCAGTCAGTGGTTAGCCATACGTAACATACGTCTCAACCACCTCAACTGATGAAGCTTCCCTCCTCCATCTATTGATTTGCCATCCTCACCTAGAACTCGTTTCCTAACGACAGCATTTCGCACTACTCATAAGTAATCTGGCAGTTACTCAATTAGTACAATACGTTATTGACACATAAGAGATAGCTACTTTGCAATTTTGACGTCTCGCTCTCAACTTGTATACCAGAATGCGTGATAGGCTTTTGCGAATTTGTGTCACTTATAGTGTAGGTTAGCGTTCCCTGGACAGAACTGGAAAGGGAAGCCCAGGACAGAGTAGGCTGCAGAATCAATCGACCAATCAATCAATCAGCGGCAACGTAGGACTTCGTACGTACGTACATTAGTTCAAGTTGTCATACGATATTAGCCTGTAGACCCTTCGGTGCTACTGCCGGTCCCAAGCCCGGATAAAGGACGAGGGTTGGGATTGGGGTTGACGACCTCACTCCACAAAAAACTAACTTGCTATAAACACGCTAACAAAAAAAATAATTCAATCCATTTAAACTCTGTTCTGGGAGTTAGAAGGTCTCCTCATTTAGTAGAGTTAAGACGTCTCATGATGAAAGCCGAGTTTCTTCGGAAGTCACGGGGCCGATGCCCCTTCTAACAACCAGAACCATTCCACGACGTTTGCAGCCGGGAAGTAACATCCGCCTTCATACCCATAAAAGTATTTAAGTAGGCTAGAGAATACTAGTCTTCGGTCTATGCTCCACTGGGGGTAACAGGCCTAAGTAAATAAGCAAGTAAATAATAGCGTAGGTGAGATATCCAGTGAATTCATTTTATGATTGCCTCTTTTCAATACTTACCCTGATTCAAGAAGACATGAAAGACGTCCTAACAATGTAGAATAACAATAATTATAAGCAATAATAACTGAAGGATATAATGATTGAAAATCCAGAACAGCTACAGGGCCATCAATGAATATGGTACTTTCTGGTTCTAAATTCAATGGAATTCCTTCTGGAGCACGTTGGTGAGCACGTTGTGTAACACTTGGACTAGGTAGAAGAAAATTTGATTGTTTTGCAATACGACAAAGAAGCGATTCAACACGATACTAGAAAAAATAGGAAAAAGGTTACTAAATGGTGGATACTACTTTTAAATCGGTTTTATAAGTAGTATATAGTGTGGAGCGATGTCTAGAGGTTGCTACTATGGAGAAGAGGGTCTGAAGATAGAAATGCATTGCGTGATCAGAGCATTTTTAGGACTGGAAGAGATCTGTGTGTGAGAGAGAGAGAGAGAAGACAGTCAATAACCTATTCGTACTGCAATTAGGTGAAGGAAGACTAAAGTTCAGTTCAAATACCGAGACATGAAATCGTCGGGCCGACTATAATACTACAGTAGCAGGGTTAGTACTAGTATTATTAACAATTGAAAAGATTCGGGATCGAAGATAAGATTCGAGAAAATATATAAGTCGAGGTGATAAATCTTTTTTTAAAGAAAGAAAAAAGAGGTCATAGGGAATGGTGAAGTTTAGAAGACAAAGAATGGATGCACCATGAAGCTATCGCAGATAATTTTAAGCTGTCAGTCAAACTTTCTAGACACTGGCTACGATTATCATAAGGAACTCGAGAACGTACTCTGAACCTATGAACATGGTTCAATCCAATTGTCAGTAACTTAATAGACTGGTGCAATGTATTTCGTTCGACTGCTTCTAGCTTTCTTTCAGTTTACTCTTACACCAGGCAACATCACTCGTCGAGGAAATCAGAGGCCGAGCATGCGTAACACATGTCTTATGTCCATGCTTCTTTATAGATGATGTTCCTTGAATGTGTTATTTTAGTACGCTATTTTTGTGACTCTCCCAAGGACGTTTCTATCATGTTGTATAAATAAACTCGATTTGTGTGCTTGAAAACCTCACATTTCCTGGACGCTTGTAGAATACATTTTCTACGTCTTGACAAGACTTCTTCTTCAGTTAGACGGGGGTAACGGATTAGAGGAGCTATCATGTCACTGGATCACTTGTCTTACCTCTCGTTTACCGACTAAGGTGAACTCGTAATAGTTTCAAGCATATCAACTGACGAGCATCATCACCATTTCCGAAAATTATTAGATACGTTGGTGATTATATTGTCGAAACTTTAGTATTTTTCAGAATCGGGTTGTGTGGATTGCTGATGGCTGGATTGAAATCATGAACCGATTAATGTTAGACCGCCAGCAAAAAACCTAAAACCACCAGACAGTCGTTTCGCCCTAGTATAGGTTTCACCAATACTGTCTATTCATGAACCTACACGCAGTAATCGAACCCAGAACCATCGATCTCGCACACGAACGCCAAACCATTTGAACATTGAGCTGAGATCCGATCCATGATATTGCCTGACCATCAACCATTGTCATTAACCGGACACAATTGACAACAACTGTTCATGACTTCTTATTAAACGCCCTAAGAATCTCTTCACAAAGATAGTCACTCCTAGTAAACACATGATAATTGTCAGTAAAAGGTTGTTAAGATTGCTGAGTTCCATTGAAATCATAAACCAATCAAAATATTAGGCGGCGACCAACTAAGAATTACTTAGAATACCACAAATAATAATAATAATAATCATGTTTTCGAAATATTTTACATTGGGTACACAAAAATTCAACATCAAAGAAGTTAGTTATACACAACGAACCTGAGAACCACGTGATAGAACATGATAAAATTCAATACCAAATATACGAGCAAATTCACTTGTTCGACCAATTAAATCTAATGTATTCAGCAATTTTAAATTCACCATAGAACGATGTATCCAATAGTCGATTGTACGCCAACTGTGGAACAAAAAGTGGAAGAGACAAAGAGAGAGAGAGAGAGACAATAAGTGAAATGTATTCAAAGCGTGACAGGATGATAATTGGTTATCATCAAAAATAGTGGGTTGTTGATGTATGAGTTAGTCAGCTACAATGTAAAACTTCGTACGTACGTACGAACATCAATTCAAGTTGCCATATCACATTAACACACAGAGATCGAATTGTTAATTCGAATTTCAGTGGTGCGCGCTACTTATAAGTAGTATATGATGCGAGTGTAAACGTAATGTCTGGCAGCAGAAGAGGATGGAGGAAGATCAAGAAAGGAAGAGTGGGGGAACACAATGGAATTTGTATGAAACGCTTGAATAGGTGAAATGTCAGACCATGGATTGATGATGGATTGAAGATTTGCAAATTAACCGTTTACGATATGGTTTTCTTATTTTACTGAGTAACTCTGTAATTTTCGTTAAATACAATTTGGTTGTCCTCACCTGAGTTCTCCTTCACTACAATAGTAGTAAAGATTGTAGAAGTATTAGCAGTGATGGAGAAGATTAAGGCTCGAAGATATGATTCGAGAAGTACTAACCAGTGAAATAGATTTCAAAAAAGGGAAAAAACGGTCTTGAGCTCATGAGGTCATGAGAGAAGACAAAGGATAGATGTGCCTGCTCCATTGCTAACGATTTTGAGCCATGTCATTAAAGGTCTCTGACCATCGGTTACTATTATCTCGCGAACTCCAACCAGGTAGTCTTCAACTACCAACATTTCTCAGTCCACTTGTATGGCTAACCACCGACTGCCGAGACGAGCTATGTTTGGTAGTGTAGGAGTACGTTGGAAGAAAGCTATGGGCGGCCAGACAAAAACATGACAGAAATCCATGAAGTCACTGGCAAATGGACTGAGTCATGTTGGTAGATGTAGACTACCTGGTTTGGGTCCACGAGACGAAAGTCACCAACGGTTAGAGACCTTGAACGATACGGCTCAAAATCGTTTGCAATGGCGCAAGTACATTCATTCTTTGTGTTCTCTCAAATTCTAACCTTCTGAATTCCTCATAATCTCTGTTTTTCTCTTTCTAAACTTATCTCACTAAATCATACTTCTTGAATAATATCTTCTAATCCTAACCTCTCCGATTACTTCTAATACCTTTACTACCTCTTCTACTATTAGATTTGAATTGACAATTATATCTCTGTGCTGATGTGGTATGGCAACATGAACTTATGTACATACGTACGAAGTTCTACGGTGCAACTGACTGACTGACTGACCACCTGTCAGTAACTCTATGGATTTGTACTATGTTTTGGTATGACCACCCCTAGCTTTCTTCCAACCTAACCCTACGTTATAAATGATCGCTCGACGAAGCAGTCGGTGGTTGGTTTGGCATAAGCAACACATGTCCCAATCACCTCAACTGATGAAGTTTCAATACTTCATCTATTGATCTGCCATCCTTACCGAGTACTCGTTTCCTAACGACAGCATTGCTTAATCGGTTGCCCCACGGTATACGAGCAATGCTTCGAAGACACCTATGATAGAAAACCAGTAACCTACGAATATCTTCTACTCTCACTGGCCATGTTTCACAGCCATATAGGAGAACGGAGCGAACTGCTGCACAGTACACCCGTCCTTTTCTTCACTTACACTAACAAGGCTTACTCAACTAAACAAAAATAATGAACACTTTCATTTATATTCTTGATATCACTTTGATTATAGACAACAGAAAACAACTGACCATGAATTCAGTCAATATACAAGATGTCAGTCGCTATTACGTAACATTTACCACCTTATCATACGGGAGATTTCTTGTCCAATAGCCAATGTTGGTTTGCGTAATTCTGCGGATATGAAACTATGAGGTTATATAGAAAAACGTTAAGTTGTATGATGTGGTTTAACAAGGATTCTAACCAACTCCAACACCTAGCCTTTTATTGTCGAAATCATGAATGAATTATTGTTAGATCAGCATCATTAGGAACTTGGAAACAATAGACAGACGTTTCGTCCTAGTGTGGGACTCATCAGCAGTGCGCATCTATGACTACTGCTAATCACAGGAATCGAACCTAGGACGTTTGGTCTCGCATGCGAACCCATAACCTCTGGACCACTGAGCCGGCATCCAACGGTGTCAATGCAAAACTTAATTCAATCTAAGGACTTCACGCAACCGAACTCATTATCTTCGATAGGTAACTGCCTACACCATACACAGTGTTGAACTACACTAGTTACGATCTCTCACTAGAACTTCGTGAATTTCCTCGCAAAGCCAGTCATTATTGAACACATTGTACAACATTTCATCATGAGATCATGAAGATTGCTGTTTATTGTAGAAATCATGAATCAATTAATCAATCGTTAGAACAGACAGATAAAGACAGATTTTGACTAATTTGGTCTCGTGTGCTGTTACGGGTATGAGGGCGGTTGTCACTTCCCGGCTGCCCACACCGTGGAAGGTTGTTTCTTGAGCGACCTGAAAAGGAAGATAGATTAGTGTTGGTCTTAGAGACTTGGGTGCGTGACCGTAGAGCCCAAGGGACAACTGCTTGTGGTCGGAAACACACGGCCTTTTGATGAAAGGTTTTCCGAGTATTAGCTACGCTCTTTTTAAAAGCCATTAGTGGGCACCCTTACCGCCAGAGACGGAAATCCGTGAGGTAGGGTGAGAAGGCAGCATCGCTGCAGATGCTGCTGTCACACCCCTCTGCAGTCAACAGTACGACTTCGCCCTCAGACCTTGAGTAGCTGCTTTTAGTCTCATAGTTCTCCAATAGACCTGCCCGGCATGGTAGGACCTTCCGGAACCTATGTTCCAGCCAGTATAGCTCGGTTGGATTATCACGATAGGCAAGCCCGACAAGCACCATGTCAAGGTAGCAGCAACGGTCGGGAATCGTTAGACTACCATTTTACGAATAAAAAACCAAACATAGTGACAGTGTCAAACGTGCAAACCTAAGTTATGTGATAGGCTCAAAAAAAGAGCATTCCACCATTCTACATTTGTTTCGGCCTAACATTTTACACAAACAATAGAATGATATAAAAATAGATTATCTGTTAAAATATTCATCCAATATCCCTAAGAGAATTATTGGTCAAATCCTATTGGTCGATTTCTATTGGTCAAAATTATGGTCATTTTAACTGTCAAAGTCAAATACTTCAAATGTTACCTCTTATTGGTCATTCGGACTGTCAATGTCATTTCAAATGTTACTTCCTATTGGTCGTCCTTCTAACTGTCAATATCACAGAATTCGATGCTGTTTCCTATTCGACCAAAATGTATAAATAAGCAATATCTGTAACATTTTATGACCACGACCAGGACCTGGTCCCGGGTCCCTAGTCCGGGATCCTGATTCTCTTCTTGATTAGGACCTCGTACTTTCTGGATGCTTGTAGAATACATGTTCTACTTCATATCACGTCTTGTTTTATTTTCACTAAATATGGGCCTTGGAATAATCGGGTTTGAGTAGCATGTCGTGGTGTCGCCGGATCCACTCAATCCTCGCTCTCCGACTAAGGGGTAAACTCGTCATAGCATTCAAGTATATCAAAAGTTGACGTGGTAGGCTTAAGATTATATTAAAGCAACTGTTACATAAAAAAAATAAAGAATTTATTCATCCTCTCATCATAGAATTCAAACAATAAAACAACAACAATGTGCGACATTACCGATTATTAGTACCATTGACATTCGCGTACCATTCGTTTAATTGTGCAAATGTATAACGAGGCATAAATTCTTTGAGTAAATGATACACCACCGTTTCTACACTGTATTCATATAAACTGATCTAAAAATTTTTAAACAGGAATAAAACCAAATGTGAATTTTATTCTACTACTGTGGTGTGAGCTACTTATAAGTAGTATATGACGTGAGTGTCAACGTAATATCTGGCAGCAGAAGATGGGGGAAGATCAAGAAAGGAAGAGTTAGAAGAACACAATGGAATTTGTGTATGAAACGCATGAATAGTGACAATGGATTGATGTTTTGCAACAGGAACAGTCCAGTTCGATATGATGAACTGATTGATATTTTGCAAATGAACGATTTACGATATGGTTTTCCTATTTTACTGAGTAACTCTGTAATTTTCGTTAAATACAATTCGGTTGCCCCACCTGTGTTCTCGTTCACCACACTACTACTAGTGAAACAGAAAAATTATTACTAGTAGACAGTATTTCCGTGAAATGATGAATGAATGAATCGTTGTTGTTAGACAACCACATTAAGAAAACCTGGATGCGTTGGACGGAAGTTTCAACATGGTTAGAGACTCGCCAGCGATACACACACACACGACAGGACCTTTAGTCTCACGCACGAATGCTTAACATCTGGACCAGTGGATTGGCATCCGATCCACAATCTTGCACAACCCCATCCACTATTTACCACAAGCACTGCTTCACAGACGAACAAGGATGAACTTCACTAGTCACGATTTCTCACTCCAACTCAACGAAACTTCCTCAAGGAGATAGTCACTAATGAGAGCATGATAATTTAGATTATAGGAAGAAGGAGTAGTGGATACACACTGTCACTTATGAGTCACATGCCAGGTTTCTTAATTGCGGTGGTTTAACAATAATTCATTCATGATTTCAATGTGTACAAAACAACGATCTCCAGAATATTACGATGCGAAATCAAAAGTATCGTCTGAGGAATATGAGTTAACTAGTCAGTCTGTAGTGAAGGAGAACACAGGTGAGGTCAACCGAATTGTAGCTAACGAAAGTTACAGAGTTACTCAGTAAAATAGGAAAACCATATCGTAACCACCGTTAATTTGCAAATCATCAATCCATTGTCTGACATTTCACTAATCATGCGTTTCATACAAATTCCATGGTGTTCCCACTCTTCCTTTCTTGAACTTCCCCCATCTTCTGCTGCCAGACTATAACGTTCACACTCGCATCATATACTACTTATAAGTAGCTCAAACCACAAGTCAATCAATCAATAAGTAAACACCTATTTTTGTACAGTGTTAAAAGGAATTTTTGACAAGCGATTCTGTTTATCACAATCAAAATGAAAACAGCCACATTGTAAATTCGTCCAAAAAGATATAGATACCGTCTCCGTCATTTTGAATGCTTAAGATAACCGAAATATACTTGTAAGAGCACCGCCCCCCACCACCACATTGTTCCCAGTTGGAATTGTCGATATCGTGTATTCATTTGTGAGCACATGAAAAGAGAAAAGGGATTCTATTCACACTAAACCGTATGTGGACACTCGACGGAGGATTTAGGAATAGTGACCATTTGCCTATTTTAGAATAGATACGCAGGCCTTGAATTCCACCGCTAGCTTTCAGTATTTCTATAAACTACATCAGTCTGTTATTAAAAAAACATGTCAGGATTTGATTATGACCAAGTTAATTACTAGTGTGCTGTCACAGATACGAGAGTATATCGCATTTCTCGGCTGTTCACATGATGGAAGGGTGTTTCATGAGGAACCTTAAAGAGAAGTTACATTGGGGTCGGTCTTAGTGGCCTGGATCAACTACTTGAGGCCAATCACGCATGGCTTTTTTATGAGAATTTTTCAACATGTTAGCTTCGCTTTTCCAAAGGCTTTACTGTCGAAAATAAAAATCCGTGAGGTAAGATGAGGTGTGACATCTTTAGAATTGACCTTCATTGACCTCCATTGTAAGAAGGCAGTATCGTGGCAGATGCTGGTTGTCTGAAGGAAACACTTCATTCACTGTTATCACTTAGCTACACAATCAGCAAAGCGACTTCGGTCCTTAGACCTTAAATTACTGCTTATAGTCTCACCGTTCTCCAATCGACCTGCCTAGCATGATAGAACCTACACAGGAACATGTGTTGTTGTAGCCAACGCAGCTCGGTTTGACCACTAAGAGAGAGAAGCACGACCATCACATCAAGGTAGCACCTAGGGTCTAACGGACTAGAGTATTTAACTCCAACAAACAAACGCGCACGTTAAAGACACATCATAAATCTTACTTCATGCATTAAAATTCGCCAAAAACACAAGACAACACGACCAGGACAAGCGAATGGACCACCAGTACGACCAGCAGATGAATCACATGGCCATACACGACGATAATTAATAGTCGGGTTGTTAGATTGTTTATTTGTTACTGTTGTTGTCATTGTAGAATTATACAATGGATTGCATGGACAATGACATACTAATAATAATAATTGATCAAGATTATTCATAAATTCTTGTGTATTAAAATGCCAGAGATTATTTTTCGCATTGATCATGTTACTACTGATATTGCAGTTGTTAGTAGTAGAAGTAGTTGACGATGTTGTTATTGGTGGTGGTGGTGTTTGAACTATTCTAATACATGCATCAATGCACTGATGACAATGAGGGCAGTTTATGATGTCTGTAAGAAAAAAAAATTTGGATACACATTCACGAGTTAGATATGGAGATTGTTGAATTTCATTGAAATTATGAATCAGTCATTATAAGATTAGTGTATTAGAAACCTGAAAGCACTGGATGGCCATTTCGTCCTTGTATAGGACTCTTCAGCAAACAGTCAGTCAGTCAGTTACAACGTACAACTCCGTACGTATGTACATAAGTTCAGGTTGCCATACCACATTATTAGCACAGAGACGCAAATGTCAAATCAAATCCCATAGAGATAAAGATGGTAGAGGTATTAGTGTTATAATAAAGAAGACTAGGGTTTAAGATATTATTCAAAAAATATAATTCAGTGTGAGATAAGGTTAGAAAGACAAAGGTAGAGGTGCTGACGAATACAGAAGATTAGGATTTGAGAGAGCACAACGAATGGATGCACTTGCGCCATTGCAAACGGTTTTGAGCCATGTCGTTCTCTAACGATTGGTGACTTTCGTCTCGCGGACCCCAACCAGGTAGTCTACATCTACCAACATGACTCAGTCCACTTGTCAATGATTTCATGGATTTCTGCCATGTTTTGGTCTGGCCGCCCCTAACTTTCTTCCAACCTACTCCTACACTACAAAACATAGATCGTCGCGGCAGTCGGTGGTTAGGCATACGTAACACATGTCCCAATCACCTCAACTGATGAAGTTTCAACACTTCATCTATTGATTTGCCATCCTTACCTAGTACTCGTTTCCTAACGACAGCATTGCTTACTCGGCTGTCCCATGATACACGAGCAATGCTTCGGAGACATCGATGATCAAAGACTAGTAACCTACGGAAGTCCTCTACTCTTAACGGCCATGTTTCGCATCCGTACAGTAGGACGGAGCGAACTGCTGCGCAGTACACTCGTCCATATGAGGACTCATAAATTTTCTTTGTGAAGAATCACCAACTGCATGAGGCAGAATTTCAATAATTTAAATCATTATTTCTCGAGTTAGCGTATTTTTTTAACAAGCATTTTGAACAAGTGGTGCATTAATCAGTCATACAATAACACTATTATTGTCAATTCGAAATAATCATACCAGGTATTCGTTTGAAATGAGTCAGTCAGTCAGTCAGATGCAACGTAGAACTTTGTACGTAAGTACATCAGTTCATGTCACCATACCACATCAGCACAGAGATATAATTGTCAATTCAAATCCAATAGTAGAAGAGGTAGTAAAGATATTAGAAGTAATCGGAGAGGTTAGGATTAGAAGACATTCAAGAAATATGATTCACTGAGAAAAGTTTAAAAAATCAAAACTAGAGGTGTTGAAGAATTCAGAAGATTAGGATTTGAGAGAACACAAAGAGTAAATGCACCGGCGCCATTGCGAACGATTTTGAGCCATGTTATTCAATGTCTCTAGCCATCCAATATTATCATCTCGTGGACCTCAACCAGGTAGTCGACAATTACCGACATGGCTAAGTCCACTCACTCGTCAATGACTTCATGCATTTCTGCCATGTTTTGATTTGGCCGCCCCCCGTAACTTTCTTCCAATGATGTCACAGTGATATTATCATAAAAACAATTCATATTCTTACACTAACTAACCTGATGCTAACCGTGACAATTCACGAGTAATAGTACGTCGTCCAAGTTGATTGGCACGTTCAACAAGATAACCCCATGAAAAACGTTCAATATCATAACCAATCAATATTTCAGGATCAAATCTAAATGAGAAATTAGAATTTTTACTAATTACAAAAGGCCAGCGTATTCAGTAAGGGAAATTTACTATTTTTCTGAAAATAATTAGCATGATATATAATTTTGTTTTGCCTTGCAGTTTATAGCATAGATTAATTTGAGTTAGATAATCATTAACCAGACCGTAGCTGCAGACTTGATGTGGTGCTTGTCGGGCTTGCCTATCGTGATGACCCAACCGAGGTTGGCTCGAAAATATATTCCTGTAGGTTCTACCATGACAGGCAGGTCGATTGGAGAACGGTGACACTAAAGGCAACAACTCATGGTCCGAGGACGAAGTCGTACTGCTGAATGTAGAGGGATGTGGCAGCAGTAAGGTGTTTCCCTCGGACAACCAGCATATACAGCGATACTGCCTTTTCAAAATGGAAACAAGAGGTGAGAAAACGTCGACCCTAAAAATGTCACATCTCAATTTACCCCCATGGACTTGCATCTCTTGTGGCAGGACCTTTTCAAGAGCGGAGATTACACTTTACCAACTTCCCATAAAAATGCCATACATGATTGGCCTGTAGTAGTTGTTACTTGGGCTCTGCGATCACGCTTTCAGGTCTCCAAGACCAACACTAATCCAACATCTGTTTCACATTCCTCAAAAAACACTTCCACGGTGAGTGTAGCGACATCCGACCTCATACCCGTAACAGAACATGATGTAGTGAAGGAGAACACAGGTGAGGACAACCAAAGTGTATTTAACGAAAATTACAGAGTTACTCAGTAAAATAGGAAAATCATATCGTAAATCGTTCATTTGCAAAACATCAATCCATTGTCTGACATTTCACTGTTCATGCATTTCATACAAATTCCATTGTGTTCCCACTCTTCCTCCCTTTCTTGTTGATCTTCCCTCATCTTCTGCTGCCAGACATTACGTTGACACTCACGTCATATACTACTTATAAGTAGCGCGCACCACAGATTTACTATGTTGGAAAGGTCTATGTTTATTCAGTCAGTCAGCTACAACGTAGAACTTCGTACGTAAGCACATCAGTTCATGTTGCCATACCACAACATTAGCACAAAGATGTAATCGTCAATTTCAAATCCCACAGTGGTGGTAGAGATAGTAGAATTATTACTGGTAATGGAGATTAGGATTTCAATACATTATTCAAGCAGTTGTCCCTTGGGCTCTGCAGTCACGCTCCCAGATCTCTAAGAGCAAAGTCAATCTACCTTTCTATGTTTATTCGCTTATAGATTTAGTTACCTAATTATACTATAACAACAATAAAGATCATTGTACACTCTGGAAGTAAGGCAAACCAATTGAAAACCTTGGGAATATTTATCGATTAAGATGGTGATGATATTTAATTTGTGTAAGTGGAACGATGGTCGATTCCTGATAATCAATATATGCAGTAATAGACACAGATTGATTAAAAAAACCCAGATATCATTTTATTGAGTAAAAACACTGTTTATAACTCTTAGTCAATAACAAATGGTAAGTCAATAAAATAGAAAAGACCTTTGAAAGCCTAACATTCAGTAGTTAGACGACCGATGTACAATAAATTAAATCGACGAGCTTAATGTACATGCGTTGCAGTTTGTATATTCTGTTAGTTGATATTACAATCAACCAAATCGAGGAAGAACATTTGGTGTATTCAAAACATTAGCAATAGTGGCGCAAGGTGGTAAGGCTAGGCGAGAAGGGTAAGTCGTGAAGATAGGAGAGTTATTAAGGGGTGAAGGAAGGATTTGATAGTGACCAAATTGATCACATGTGCTGCTACGGGTATGAAAGTGGATGTCACTTACCGGCTGCCCCAAAGATAACTGCTTCAGGTAGGTCAAATACGGTCATTTTTTAAAGTTCTTAGTGGCTTTACAGCCGGAGACAGAAATCCATGGATTAACGTGAAGTGTGACAATTTAAGGGTAGACCTTTTCCAGAGCCTTCCTTCCTTCCTTTTGAGAAGGCAGCATCTCTGCAGATGCAGGTTATGCGAGGGAAACCACTTACTTGTGTCACACTTATCCATATTCAGTAGTACGACTTCGCCCTCAGTTGCTGCTTTCAGTAGTACCATTCTCCAATCGACCTGCCTTGCATGATAAGATCTAAAGGAACATATGTTCCAGCCATTAAAGCTCGTTTCGATCATCACGATAGATAAGCCCGAACACCACGTGTCAAGGAAGCAGCTACGGTCAGGATACAACCAGATGATAAGACTTTAGTAAGTAAGTTATATCACGTACACAAAAAATAAATTCAGAATATAAAAAAGTCACATAATTGTTATGATATGTGTCCAAGACCTGAAGTTGATACGTGCTGACCCTCCCCGTTTTGCAAGACAAGGACAGAAGGAGAAGGTTTGTTTGGTTATTTAAATCATATGTACAAACACTCGTCTATACATATACGTATATATATATATATATATATATATATATATATACTCCACCCCCTTAGAAAATGAATTCATTTCTTCACACCAATCATATACATTCGTCCTTGACAACATGTCGTCCAATTGTCATCAAATGACCTCAACTGGTGATCAATTCTGATTGGTTGAATCAAAAATTAAATCAAAACAATACTACTTACGTTTGAATGAAATAAACAATCCAAGATATTAAATTCCATTCAGTTGAACACCAAATAATACGTGGCATAATTTGTCGTGATTTATGTATTTTATAACGATAATTCGACAAGCCATGTAAAAATTTATTCATACATTGTTTTGTATTAGATAATTCTGAATGAATTAAAACAAATAAATCAATTTGATGATGATGATGATGAAGAGTATGATCAGCGTCATCACCGTTATCATGATCGTCAATAGATGATTGGATTGGACGTTGAACAGTAAGGCAAGCAATTTGAATGGAATCGTATAATGGATCAGGCATTAGACCACATTTAAGCAATGAATTTGTTTTAATTGATTTCAATTTTATATTGGATTCATTTAAATTTGATAATGTATGGGATTTAGTTAAACGACTAGAACAATGTAATTCTAAACTTGCTATAGTTGTATGATCAATCTGAATTTTCGTAAGGGGGGGGGAAACACAAGAGAACATTGAAAAAACCAATGTAGAATGATGAATGGTAAAAAGGTAGGTGTGTGTGTGTGCGTGTGTGTAATGGTTAAGGATGATGATTGAAACACATAAATAGTGGCATACAAGCGAAGGGTGATGAAGGATGACCAGTCGAGTTCCGTCTTCTTCGGATGTGAAGCAGTGCTCACTGAAGACAGTGGATAGTGTTGTGACATATTTGCGCCTTAGACATTTTTCGAACAATCTAATGGTCACATATATATATAATGCTGTCAAGTGCAAAATCGCTTCTGAAAAAGTAAAGCTCGAGTTTGACAAGTTGTTCATTACTTACTTACTTACTTACACCTGTTACCCCCAATGGAGCATAGGCCGCCCACCAGTTCCCTCCAAACTAAATCTGTCCTGGGCTTCCCTCTCCAGTTCTGTCCAATGTTTGTTCATTCCTCTCATATCTTTCTCTATTTCTCAGCGTAACATGTTCCTTGACCTTCCTCTTTTCCTTTTGCCTTGAGGGTTACAAGTAGGAGCTTATCTTGTGACACAGTCCAGAGCTTTTCGCAGTGTGTCTCCTATTCACTTCCACCACTTCTTTCTGATTTCCACCTCCACTGGAATCTGGTTTGTTCTCTCCCACAGTACGTTGTTGCTGATGATGTCTGGCCAACGGATCCGAAGTATTTTGCACAGACAACTGTTAAAATACTTGCATTTTCTGGATGATGGCTTTGGTAGTTTTCCAAGTTTCCACTGCATACAGTAGAACTGTCTTCACATTTGTATTGAAAATCCTGATTTTAGCGTTGCTTGATATTTATTTGGAGTTCCAGATATTTTTTAATTGTAGAAATGCAGCCCTTGCTTTGCCGATCCGCGCCCTCACATCTGCATCGGATCCACCTCTCTCGTCGATGATGCTGCCCAGATATGTAAAGGTGTTAACGTCCACCAAAGCATCTCCATCAAGAGTGATTCGGTTGATGAACGTTGTGTTGCATCGGAGAAATTTGCTTTTTCCTTTATGTATGTTGAGACATACTGATGCTGAGGCTGGTGCTGCTACACTGGTCGTCTTGTTGTTGCGCGTGCGATAGAAGAGCCAAGTCATCTGCGAAGTCCAGATCATCCAGCTATATTTTAGCTGTCCATCTTAACATCTTCATAATCCAGTCGATGACCAGGAGAAAGAGAAATGTAGAGAGTAAGTCACCTTGCCTGACACCGGTGTTCACCTCGAGCAGGTCTGTCAGCTCTCCTCCGTGCACGATTCTGCAGTTTAATCCCCTATAAGAATTCTGTATGATGTTGAGTATCTTCGAACAAGCCTCTACAGTGTTTGCCTATCCACGCTATCGAATGCTTTCTCGTAGTCGATGAAGTTGATGTAGAATTGTGAGTTCCACTCAATTGATTGTTCCACAACGATCCGTAATGTAGCAATTCGGTCTGTACACAATCGATCCTTACGAATTTCGCAGATGCTGCTTCGATGCCTGTACACCCTTCGGGGCTACTGCCAATCCGAAGCCCGAATAAAGGAGGAGGGTTACACATGAGGGTTGGCGACCCTATCCCACCAAAAAACTAACTCGCTAGAAAAAACGCTAACTAGGACAAATAATTCAAGTTGTTCATTAATACACACATATATTATTTCCCAGAGAGCTTTTTATACAAGTATATGTATGACCAACACCAGATTGTTCGAAATGTTCAGCGGAACATTTTTTTTAGATCAACTGAGTCTTCTCACTGTTCTGTCAATAAAATAGATATAATTTATGATAATAATGATTGTATTTTACTGTGGTGGTGTTTCGTTCTCTGAGCTGGGTGTTTTTTTTTTGGTTGTGGAGCTTTCATTGTTCTTCTTCTGAACAACAACATCATCAGCACAAACTACAGATAGAAGTGAAGTATTCGAATTGTCTCCACGTTTGACCAGTAGCTTGTTCTGTTAACTTCAATCTTGATTGGTTGCTGTTGACCTTTCATGCCTGTCGTTGTTTGCACATTTGTTTTGATTGTACCCTCCTTTTGATCTGTTTCTTGATCATATGTCTGTTGTCTATAAGTTTTCTGATTGGTTGATAAATTGGGTCAATGTCGATATGTTGGTTGACTGCTGGTTGGCCTGAGTGCCAAGCTTCTAAAAATTCTCTAGTGTTCTTTTTGTTCCCCTACCCCTATCCAGTATTTCCATATTGTTCCCATCGAAGTTGTTGTTCAGAAGAAGAACATTGATGAAAGCTACCCCACAACCAAAAAAAACATCCAGCTCAGAGAACGAAACACCACCACAATCATCATCCACCTGAGCTACCAAAATCTTTTCCACCAATCTTAGGCAATCACGCACAATACCGAAGGTCCCGGGTTCGAATCCTGCGTGGTGCATGCAGGAGTCGTGGATGCACACTACCACTGATGAGTTGTCCCATACCAGGCAGGACGAAACGGCAGTCTTTCAGTGCTTCTTCCAGGTTTCTAATGGTGGTCTAACAATGTCAAATGTGTAATCTGTAAAACACAAATCTCCAAAAACTCTAACTACAAAGAAATAAAACATCTAGTAAAAATAGGTATTTTACCTGAACTGATGAAAAACATCGTTCATTGGCAGCTTGATATAAGACACTAACAGAACTATTCATTGATTGTCGTGTTGTATCAAACGATAGGTCGTTGTTAGTTGATGCATGTTGTGGAAGAAGAAGAAGAGTTTGATTGTCGTCAACATTGGCACGATTATTATTATTATTATTATTATTATTATTACTATTTTGTTCATCATTCATAGTGGATGCAATCAAATGACCAGATGTACATTGCTGAAAAATCAATAAGATGAACACTTGATAGGTAAATATATATATATACAACTAAATAGAATTTATACAACAGCATAACTGAAATTAATTTGTACCGAGAAACTATTATCGAATGAAACAAGCTTCATAATAGTCTCATTAGTAAGGTTGTGGAGATTGTTGGGTTACTCTTTTTGAAATCAGAAAAATCGATCAATGTTGGACCACCGGTGAAACCTGGAAGTAGTATTGGATAGCCATTTTGTTTCAGTATGGGACTCACTAACGGTGCGTATCCACGACTCGATCACAAGAGAATCAAACCACCTACTATGGACCTTATACATGAACAATGCTCATGTGTACCTTAAATCAATACACAATATTGCGTGTGACCATCATTCATTGTCTTCAGTGTGTAACTGCATCACATTGGACACAGCTGAACTCCACTGATCACGACGTCTCACTAGAACTTCAGGAATTTCCTCATGAAGCTAAAAATCGCCAGTGAGCACATTTTATGACTTTTTTCATTATAAGGTTATGAAGATTAATGGCTTGCTTTTTGAACACTTGAAATCATCAATCGATTAATGATAGATTACACACAAGCACTGGATGGCCGTTTCGTCCTGATACGGGACTCATTAACAGTGCGCATCCACGACTCCTACACCTCGCAGGATTCGAACCCGGGAACCTGGGCCACTGAGCCGCTACCTAACGATGTTAATGTCTACGATCGATCGACTCACGGAGTTGCGCAACCTCATACAAAGTCACTCCATCGGTGGCTGATGGCGATGTGATCTAGTTGCGCTCAACGTTGAGACGACTTTGGAGGTCGCCAGGTCAACAGATGCTTTTCCTTATGCCTAAAGTTAGTGTTTGCTAAGAATAGGCGGTTGTCCGAGCATACTTGCAACAGACGGTCACGATTGTCTGTTCTCCGAGCAGCAACACCATAACATCCACCTAGGTGTCTTTCATTTTCACTTAGTCTACCTACTTGAGCATTAAAGTCACCATCCATTATTACTATATCAGAGCGCCCAGCTTTTTGGGGGAGGTCCGAAAGCTTTCTGTAAAACTCATCATAGAATGAAACAAGCTTCATAATAGTCTCATTAGTAAAGTTGTGGAGATTGTTGGGTTACTCTTTTTGAAATCATGAATCGATCAATGTTAGACCGCCTGTGAAAACCTGGAAACACTGGACAGATATTTCGTCCACGGACGGGATTCATCGGCGGTGCGCACCCAAGACTCCCACACGCGGGAATAAGACACAGAACCTTCGGTCTTATGCGTGAACGCCTAACCTCTAGATCACTCTAAGTTGACATCCAACGGTGTTAATGTCTAACTTCAATCAATCCAAGGTATTATTGTCAGGATATTCATCAAATATCCAATAGAAATTATTTGGTAAGTCTAACTTCACTGGTCAATATTTAAGGTCGTCGTAAACTATCAAGTTCATATACTTTTAAATGTATATGTAAAGTTTTATGCTCCTCTTCTTCTTCTGTACAAAACCACATATTTTTTGGGTGCTTGTAGAACATACACTTTCTACGCCATATCAAGACTTTTATGATACCGTTAGCGGAGCCTTGGGACGCTCAGATTAGAGTAGCCTATCGTGTCACTGGATCATTTATCTTCGCTCTCATTTACCGACTAAAGTGAATTCGTAATAGTTCAAGCATATCAACTAGTGACGAGCATAACATGAAGACTGAAGAGTATGTCAATATACACTACACTGTACCCACAGTAATAATGAACAAACAGCCTGAATTACGTCAGTCAGACAGATACAACGTGGAACTTCGTAGGTAAGTACATTAGTTCATGTTGCCATACCACATTAGCACACAGAGATGTAATTGTCAATTCAAATCCAATAGTAGAAGAGGTAGTAAAGGTATTAGAAGTAATCACTGAGGTTAGGATTAGATATTATTCAAGAAGTATGATTCAGTGAGATAAGTTTACAAAGTCAAAACTAGAGGTGTTGAAGAATCCAGAAGATTATGATTTGAGAGAACACAAAAAATAAATGCACCGGCGCCATTGCAAACGGCTTTGACCCAAGTCGTTCACGGTCTCTAACCATCGATTATTATCATCTCGCGGACACCAACCAGGTAGTCGACAATTACCGACATGACTCAGTCCACTTGTCAATGACTTCATGCATTTGAGACATGTTTTGGTTTGGCCGCCCCTAGATTTCTTCCAACCTATTCCTACACTACAAAACAAAGCTCGTCGAGGCAGTCGGTGGTTAGACATGCGCAACACATGTCCCGACCACCTCTTACTGGGCCATAGTTCACAGCCATAATGTAAAACGGAGCGAACTACGGCACAGTAAACTCGTCCTGAATTACGTAACAAGGTCTAACTGTCTAACTAACTACGAGGTTGAGATAATATCTATGCTTGTAAAATATATATAAATAATACCTGTGGAAATAATTCTGTAGTCAGCTGAATCACTTTATCATTTTCATGATTTAATTTTGATTGTAAATCTGTACATGGATCGTTTGTTTTCACAATAGTTGAATGCTTTTTATTACAATTCGACTGTTTCAACCAATTATTAACATCATTTAATTTAGGCGGTGTACAAGTTGGACGCCAAAATGGAATACAAGTAAATAATGTTGAAGATGATTGCTGAGGACTTTCTTCTTGTTCTTCTGGTGGAATAACAGACAATCGATTCACATCAGTCAGTGGCGATGATATTTGTGTTTGTGAATAAAGACTTAATTTATCTGTACACACAGCGGAACAACTACAAGGTGAACAAGTAAGATCTGAAAACTCGTCATAATGAAAAGAAGAGAACAGTGGTGGTTGTTCTTGTTGCTCGGACAAAACAATCATGGATGATGAATCATCATTCAACTTGCTTGATGTTTCAATCTCACCGCAATCGGTCACAAGAGTATTTTGAAGATCAAGAAATTCTTCCGGTGGAGTTAACCGACCTGATTCATTCGGACAAGATGATGTTTGAGTTGTGTCAACGCTGGATGGTAGACGTTCAAGTAGAACAACAGGATTTGGCAGGTTCGTATTAATGAGCTAAGGAAAAGAAGTTTGAACAGAAAAAAGATCGAATGTTCACAAGAAAAACATATTTCACAAAATGGATTAGTTCATTTGAAAAATCTATACACACGATAGTGAATATCAATTAGTCAGTTACAACGTAGAACTTCGTACGTACGTACATAAGTTCAGGTTGCCATGCCACAATGCCATAGAGACGCTATTGTCAGTTCAAATCCCATTGCGGTAGAGATAGTAGAAGTACCCGACCGTAGCTGCTACCTTGATGTGGTGGTCTGACTTGTCTATCGTCATGACCCAACCGAGCTATATTGGCTGGAATATATGTTCCTGAAGGTTCTCTACCACGCCAGGTCAGGTCGATTGGAGAACGATGAGACTAAAAGCAGCTACCCAAGGTCTGAGGGCGAAGTCGTACTGCTGATTGTACAGAGGGTATGACAGCAGTAAGGTGTTTCCCTAGGACATCCAGCATATATAGCGATGCTGCCTTCTCACAATGAAGGAAGTGATTAGAAAAGATCGATCCTATAAATGTCATACTTCACCTTACCTAGTGGATTTCCGTCCCGGCGGTAAGGCCTTATAAACAAGAGTGGAGCTAACACTTTGAAAGCTTCCGATAAAAAGGACGTCTCCTGCTCATCTCAAGCAGTTGTTCGCTAGGCTATACAGTCACGCTCCCAGATCGTTAAGACCAACGCTAATCTATCTTCCTTTTCAGGTTCCTCAAGAAACACCCTTCCACAGCGTGGGAAGCTGGGAAGTGATATCCGCCCTCCTACTCGTAACAGCACACGATTTCGGACATCGCGTAAGCTGAATGTGAGTTGAAGTCTGTTATTAGAATATAGTTTACAATTGATGTGAGTAACTCCACCAGGAGCCTCCCTTTTATGGTCACTGTCGATCCAAAGCCCGTATAAGGGGGGAGGGTTGTGTATGGGGTTTAGGGATACCATCCAGTAGAAATCCAATCCGCTTAAAAAAACGCTAACCATCAAAAATAATCTGCTGGTCGGGGACCTCTGCTCAAATTAAGTGTAACAGGAGTAAGTAAGTAGATGATGTTGGTAATAAATATGCAGAATTTTTCAACTGTTTTCTTTAACAGAAAAAAGGATACTAACATATAACCGACACATAGAACATTTTGCCACGTCCCTATTTTATCCTTTCTAGTGAGGTGCGATGTACTAACCACAAGGTCGATGAAGTCTTATAAGATAAGCAGGAAGACTTTTTGTATGGCGAGGCCGTCAGAATCTCTAGAGTCTTAGAGTGTAAGTGTCACACCTGGGACTAGTATAGTGTTATATGTATTTCAGTTGCACATAAGTTGTCACTCAAGTATCTAACAGTATACACATGTACACTGGCGCAGGTCCATCCACTCCTTGTGTTCTCTCTAATTCTAACCTCCTGAATTCCTCATAATCTCTACCTTTCTCCTTCTAAATTTATCTCACTGAATTATACTTCTCGAATCATATCTTCGATCCCTAATCTTCTCCGTTACTGCTAATAATTCTACTATCGCTATCATTCCTGGATTTGAACTGACAGTCGCGTCTCTGTGTTCTAGTGTGGTATGGCAACCTGAACTGATGTACCTACTTATGAAGTTCTACGTTGTAACCGATTGACTGAAGTTTCCCCTGCAACCCAGCAGCACCACATGGAGGTCTGAGGTCGACTGCTGCCATTATTTAATAATTCCTTTAATGCAATGTTCACTGAATTTAAAATCGTTGTATTAACACTTGCTTTCGATAAAATGATTACATAATGCGAAAAAATCACAATAAAAAGTCAGTCAGTCAGTTGCAATGTAGAACTTCGTGCGTAGGTACATAAGTTCATGTTGACATACCACAACATTGGCACAAAGACGCAAATGTCAAATCAAATCCTATAGTGATAAAGATAGTATGGGTATTAATCGTAATGAAGAAGACTAGGGTTTGAAGATATTATTCAAGAAGTATAATTCAGTGAGATAAGGTTAGAAAGACAAAGGTAGACGTGCTGAAGAATCCAGAAGATTAGGATTTGAAAGAGCACAAAGAGTGGATACACCTGCGCCATTGCAAACGATTCTGAGCCATGTCGTTCAAGGTCTCTAACCATTGGTGACTTTCGTCTCGTGGACCCCAACCAGGTAGTCTACGTCTACCAACATGACTCAGTCCACTTGTCAACGACTTCATGGATTTGTGCCATGTTTCGATCTGGCCGCCAGTAACTTTCTTCCAACCTACTCCTACACTACAAAACATAGCTCGTCGAGGCAGTCGGTGGTTAGGCATACGTAACACATGTTCAAACAATCTCAACTGATGAGGTTTCATTACTTCATCTATTGATCTGCCATCCTTACCTAGTACTCGTTTCCTAAAGACAGCATTGCTTATACGGTTGTCCCACGATATACGAGCAATGCTTCTTAAACATCTATGATCGAATACTAGTAACCTACGAACATCTTCTACTCTGAACGGTCATGTTTCGCATCCATATAGGAGAATAAAAAACACTAGAATCGTTCGAAAAAAAATGGTACTACTTACGAAGATACAAGCGACATATTTACAAACTTTAATCAGTGAGATATTTAAGATGTTTATTGAGTCAGCGTACAATCTAAGAAGAGTTGTTGTTGTGTAGGAATTCTCGACAAAAACATGTGATAAATTACGTAACAACCAGATATTGTATAAGTACATCAAATGGCAACCATAACTATCTATCATCTGCTCGAGAGTCAGTCAGTCAGTCAGCTACAACGCACAACTTCACACGTACATACATCAATTCTAGTTGCCATACCACATTAGCACAAAGACGCGATTGTCAATACAAATCCCATAGTAGTAGATGTAGTAGAAGTAATCAGTAATGTAAAGAGATTAATGGTCGAAGATATTATTCGAGGAGATAGAAAAATACTTTTTAAAAAATGGTCATAAGGAATTCATAAGATTAGAGAGATTGAGTGTTGACAAATCTGCTCGAAAAATGACAGAAAATAAAACTAGTTACTACATATTATTAAGTAGTATGATTTAAAACATGAAAAAAAACGTAGAACATAACATGACAGTCTCATGAAAAAAATAATTTACCAGAAAAAAAAACAACTTACTACTGAATTATTTATGACAGTTGAAGAATTAGAACTTGTTGTGTTATTATGACGACTGCATAAGACATTCTCTTGTGTAACAGATGATTTTCTTTTAACAATTGGAGTTGATTTGTTCAATGAAAGATAAATGGAGTCAGTATTATTACTACTATTATCCTTATTAAAATCGTCATTTAATGAACAATGTGGTGAGATAGTTGACGTTGTTGTACACATAGTTTGTGTAGGTGAATCTTGTCTTCTAGGTAGACGTAAACTAAGTCGTCGACGTTTTTTCGGATGTTTTAATTTACCAACTACTCTGTGTACTATGATTTAAATTTAAGCGGGGGGAAAAAATAAGATAATAATAGTGTATAAATATCATTAAATGATTAGATTCAATAATGGTAAGTTAATAATTCATTGAAAGTGCCGACTATAAAATAACTCCGCCAGTAGAACCTTAGGGGCTACTGCCTGTCCCAAGCCCGGGCAAAGGAGGAGGGTTGGACATGGGGTTGGCGACCCCATTCCATCAAAAATTAACTTGCCAAAAAAACGCTAACCAGCTGATTATAAAAATTTGTTGTTTTTCTAATTACAATAATGTAAATTCTTTTTTTTCACGACTCTTACTGTTTATATTCTTCACTGTTTAATTGTAGTGAAGGAGAACATAGGTGAGGGGGGCAACCGAATTGTATTTAACAAAAAATTACAGAGTTACTCAGTAAAATTGGAAAACCATATCGTAACTATATCGTTAATTTGCAAAATATCAGTTCATCATATCGAACTGGACTGTTCCAGTTGCAAAACATCAATCGATTGTCACTAATCATGCTGTCGTCACTTTCAAAACAGGGACTCTGGTCAGTTAATATCACCTTCCGTATTCCGTGACGCGCTACAATACGTCGGATTACTACTTCGGTCATTGTTCTTGCCCGCTGGTCTGGAATGGGTACGACATCTATCCAATGTGTAGCGTTTACTAGTTCCCGCAGCTGGGACGCGGCGGCAGGCACACTCTCGATAAAATGCGACGCCAACAACTGTGCCCCCAACTCCCTATCCATAATCGGCAGCATACGGCGCAGCAACATCGTGAACTTCACAGCCAGCACCAACGGGTCACCATCAGCCGAGAGCCTCGCCAACCGAAACATCTGCGGCGCCTCCTCCCTGTCCACCGTGCTGTCAGACTCCGTCATCAGCTGCCCTGTGACCGTCTCCCACGCCGTCTTCCCGGCGGCACCGTCCAGGCTATCGTATACCGCCTTCGCCTCACCTCCCCGCAGCGTCCCCAGATCCGCCAAATCCGCCCCGGTCCCCTTCACACCCACCAGCTCCACCGCGGCCTCAAACTCCTCCAGGAAGCTCCGCAAATCTCCGTCCTCCAACTCCTTCGGCCACGGGAGCTCCTTCCTTTAAGCAGGCAGCGACACCAAATGGAGTGAACAAGAACACAGGTGAGGGCAACCAAATTGTATTTAAAGAGAATTACAGAGTTACTCAGTAAAATAGGAAAACATATCGTAACTATATCGGTAATTTGTAAAATATCAGTTCAGCATATCGAACTGGACTGTTCTTGTTGCAAAACATCAATCCATTGTCACTATTCATGCGTTTCATACAAATTTCATTGTGTTCTTCTAACTCTTCCTTTCTCTTGATCTTCTCCCCCATCTTCTGCTGCCAGACATTTCGTTGATACTCACGTCATATACTACTTATAAGTAGCTCGCACCACATCATTACTTACTTACGTTTGAACTACAAGTATTACCAATGTTGTACTCTCGTTATTGTGTTTTACTATTCTTACCACTATTCGCAGTACACCTAATCTTTTCCTTCTTTCAGCTTGCACTTTTACCTATTCTGTGTGTAGTTAGTTACGTAATTTCTCGATTTCATTGTGACCTCTTTTTTTGTCGTTTCAAATTTCAGATCACTTTATTATTCGAATTCTACCGTCTTTCAATAAGCTTATCTATATTTGTCAAACGATTACAAGTACGAATGTACGGCTTCAGTGAAAAATGATTTCATCGAAAAGACGAAGAATTGTTTACAAATTTCAACTCGTAGAGTATATGTAACGCTTAACGTTTCTGTCTGTTTGGAAAGAAAAGAGCTGTTTTTAAACATAAAATAAAATAATGAAAACCTATGATCGTGTAGATGACAGCTGGTAGCTGAGTCTAGCTAGTCTCAACAACAATGTATACACAGAATATGTAAGCTACTGCCATAAATTATAAGAAATAAAACTGTTTACTCAATATTAATAAGTAGTAAAAATCAATTCACAAAAAAAACCACAACTCAAATAGGAAGAGAATGAAGACAGTAAGAGAGAGAGAGGCCTTCTGTTTACATATCAACACAGTTTGACAATGTTTGCTAATGTGTCACATCTTAAACACTCTCTTTCTAGAATAGTTGAATAAGAAAACAGAAGTGAAACTCTATTTACTGTGTACACAACACTTATTATTCTCTCAAGAAGCCATGAGTTTACTGACAGATTACACTACTACTGTAGTGAATGAGAACACAGGTGGGGCAACCGAATTGTATTTAACAAAAATTACAGAGTTACTCAGTAAAATCGGAAAACCATATCGTAAATTGTTCATTTGCAAAAGATCAGTTCATCCTATGGAACTGGACTGTTCCTGTTGCAAACAACATCAATCCATTGTCACTATTCATGCGTTTCATACAAATTCCATTGTTTTCTAACTCTTCCTTTCTTGATCTTCCCCCCATATTATGCTACCAGACTTTACGTTGACAATCACGTTATATACTACTTATAAGCAGTTCGCACCACAGCACCACACTACTACTACTACTCAACTATGATGTTGACTTTCGATGTCAAGTAAAAAGTACATTGTACAGTAAAATCAATATGAAGATGATGATTATGATAAATAGTATTATGTAACATAACTAACCTGTAGTGTTCAAAGAACAACTACTTGGTTTACTGCGTCGATGATCGTTATCACTGTCCGTATGACTGGTATCCATATTACCGTCTACTTGAGGTATGTTAGGACTAAATTAAGTGTATAGTTTTTAAAAAATTAAAGATAAATGAGAAAAAAAAATGAATATTAATTTGTGTTAGAGAAAAAAAACAGTTTCATTCGATAATATTATGTCACGTATGCTTAACCAATGACTCTATATGAACGAACCATGTTATCTGATGTTGGGGGTAAGCCTAGAGGAGCGGCCGGACCAAAACCTGTCACAAATCCATGAAGTCACTGACTACTGGACTGGGTCATGTTGGTAGCTGTTGTGATCCGCAAGACGATAGTAGCTATTGATTAGAGATTTCAAATGACATGGTTCAAAATCATACTCAATGACACAGATGCATCCAATTTTTGTCATCTTTCAAAATCCAGTCTTCTGAATTACTTGTGACCTCTTTTCACTTTTTAAGTTTACATCACCGGAGTACGCTTCTTGAATCATATCTTCAATCCCTAATCTTCTCTATATTACCGCTAATACCTCTACCAATATGGAATTTGAATTTACAATCGCATCTGTGTGTGCTAATGTGATATGGCAACTTGAATTGATGTACGTACGTATGAAGTTCTGTATTGTATCTGACCGAATAACTGACTGTTCCTTTTAATGGCTGTAGAATCTTAATGATTCGAGTGAGCCTACGATACCCCTTATTCTTGCGACAAAGATTGCATAACAGTTAGCACTGATTAGACCCATGTTTATAGGATGGTATTTCAATGTTCAGTTATTCGCATGTGTACTTGAATCAAGCTATCTGACTGACTAGTGAGGAAAACTCATTAGAATAGCCTATCATCTAATTTTGTGTTGTTGAAACGCTCGACTAGATTTTGCCAAATTGCGTCACTTATGGTGTAGGAGAGATATCTGTTTGCTAACCAAAAGACAAGTCTATTGCACATCAGTTCACTCCATCCTACTATATGAGTGCGAAACATGGCCATTGAGATTAGAAGACATTCTTAGGTTACTGGTTTTCAATAACGGGTGTCTTCAAAACATTGTTCGTATATCCTGGGACTACCGGGTAAGCAATGCTGTTATAGTTAGGAAACGAGTACTAGGCAGGGATGGTAGTAGTGAAACTTCATCCTCAACGAGCTATGTTTTGTGGTGTAGCAGTAGACGACTGGTAAGAAAGCTAACAGCGACCAAACCAAAACATGATACAAATCCATGAAGTCACTGAACACTGAACTGTATCATGTTGTGGTACACAGTGTCACCAATAAACAAACAGACTACTACATAGCGAAGCTGCTACCTTGACGTGGTGATCGGGCTTGCCTATCGTCATGACCCGACCGAGCTATATTGGCTGGAACTTATGTTCCTGAAGGTTCTACCATGCCAGGTAGGTCGATTGGAGAGCGACGAGACTAAAAACAGCTACTCAAGGTCTCAGGTCGAAGTCGTACTGCTGACTGCAGAGGGGTGTGACAGCAGTAAGGTGTTTCCCTCAAACAACCAGCATCTGCAGCGATGCTGCCTTCTCACAAGAAAGGAAGGGTTAGAAAAGTTCGACCCTAAAAATGTCACACCTCCCCTACCTCACGGATTTCCGTCTCCAGCGGTAAGGGTGACCACTAAGGGCCTTTAAGAACGGAGCTAATCCTCAAAATACCTTTCATAAAAAGGCCGTTCGTGACCGGCCTCAAGCAGTTGTCCCTTGGACTCTGCGGTTACGCTCGCAGGTCTCCAAGACCAACACTAATCTATATTCCTTTTTAGGTCCCTTCAAGAAACAACCTTCCACGGTGTGTTGGCAGCCTGGGAAGTGATAACCGCCCTCATACCTGTAACAGCACACGAGAGACCAAATTGGTCACAACCAAATCCTTCCTATTACTTACTCAGATTTGGATGTAGTATCACTTCCGGAACTCCAAGAATCAAAAAATATATCTGAAATACTATCCATTTGACATGATTTTACAATATCTTTTGACAATAAATCTTCCATAGATTGATGTAATGGTGACAGAATTGTCAGTGAATCCGACAATGTACATTCATCATTGCGTACATTACAAACGGATTCATTTATGATTGCATTTGGCAAAGGAGTTGAATGCAAATCAAACAACAGATCATCACATGATTCTTCATCATCGTCGTCAACTTCATCATCGATTTCACGAACTGGCTCCAAGTCTTCCATTGAAATAAACATATCATTCGAAGAAGCATGATGTCTTCTAGTACGGGATACGGCATCATCATCATCAGCAGCAGCAGCAGTATGTAAATCATTGCCAACAAGTTGTGACATACATTTATCATCATTATCATGGTCAACTTGTTCATTTTTTATTGCCAATAAATTGTCAACTATGGATTGATCTACTCCCAACGATTGTTGACTGCATACAAATGATAAAGCGCATTGTGTTGCATTGTATAGTAAAGTATTCTCATTCTCATTGTCTAAATCAATGATATGTGATGAATGAATAATTGATGGATGTTGACTAGTTAAAGTAGTGTTTGTAACCTTGAAGAAATGCAGAATTAAATAAATTAGAGTTAGTCCATTACAATGTAGAACATTGTACGTATGTACGTACGTACGTGCATCATTTCAAGTTATCATATTAGATTAACACACATTGAGATGTGATTGTCAATTCAAACATCATAGAAGTAGAGGTGTCTTCGAAGCACTGCTCATATTTCCTGGGACACTCGAGTGAGCAACGCTGTTATTAGGAATCGGGTGTGCTAGGTAAGAATGGCAGATCAATAGATGAAGTAATGAAACTTCATCAGTTAAGGTGGTTGGATCATGTGTTGCGTATGCCTAACCACCGACTGCCTCAACGAGCTATGATATGTGGTGTAGGAATAGGTTGGAAGAAAGCTAGGGGCGGTCAAACCAAAACATGGCAGAAATCCATGAAATTATTGACAAGTGGACTGAGTCATGTCGATAATTGTCGACTACCTGGTTGGGGTCCGCGAGATGATAATAATCGATGGTTAGAGACCTTGAATGACATGGCTCAAAATCGTTCGCAATGGCGCAGGTGCATCCACTCTTTGTGTTCTCTCAAATCGATTATTATCATCTCGCGGAACCCCAACCAAGTGGTCTAAATCTAAAAACATGACTCAATCCAGTTGTTAGTGACTTCACGGATTTGTGCCATGTTTTGGTTTAGCCGCCCCTAACTTTCTTCCAACCAACTCCTACACAACAAAACATAGCTCATCGAGGCAGTTAAATGTTGGCCATACCTAACACATGTCCCAACCAGCTCACCTGATGATGTTTCAGTAATTCATCTATTGATTTGCCATAGTTACACCTAGTACTCGATTCCTAATAACAGCATTGCTTACTCGATAGTCTCAGGATGCACGAGCGATGCTTCGAAGACACCTATTATCGAGTAGTAATAAGCTACGAATATCTTCTACTCTAACTGGCCATGTTTCACAGTCATAAAGTAGGACGGAGCGAACTGTTGCACAGTACACTCGTCCTTTGGTTAGCAGACGGTTATATCGCCTACGCCATAAGTGACGCAAGCTGGCGATAGCCAATCGAGCCTTCTGTATCTGTCATGAGATTTTGTCAGTCACCAGGCCATCAGCGCTGATGAGATTCCCAAGATCAGTGAAGCGGTTTACCAGCTCAACTGGAAATCATAGATGTGGTTGTAATACAGAGTAATGACCGGTGGATCAGTAGATCCAAAAACATTATGTTCTCATGATTTGATGGGTGGTAAAAAAAAACATTCATTACTCAGATATGATACAGTCAGAATTCCAAGGACAATGATAAGGTTCACTTTCCATGGAAAGAATCTTAACAAAGTCAAAATGAAGCATTTTTTTAAAGTTTGTAAGAACCGGTCTTAAGCAGATGATTTTTAAGGACTCTATATGATGTACGTACATTGACAGAATCATCAATAATAACCCAGTGTTTCCTATTCAACCTAGCGATTTAGCTTTCCATAGGATGGGGTAGATAGCCCCATGCCCAATGCACCTCCTCTATCTGGGCTTGGAACCAGAAGTAGGCCCAGAGAAGCTCCAGGTGGCCTATGCTCCACTAGGGGTGACAGGAGTAAGTAAGTAAGTAAGTAAGGACCAAAGGTATCTTCGAACCAATGCAGATCTATTCTGGGACCACTGAGTAAGCAATGTTGGAGTTAGGAAAAGGACTGATAAATTGATTGATGAAGTAATGAATCTCCATAAGTTGAATTGGTTGAGACATGCGCTACTATTGCCCAACCTACCGCCTACCACGACGTGCGATGTCCTGTGATGTAGAAGGAAGTTGGGGTAGGCCAAATCGAAATCATGGCACCAGTCTATGTAATCAAACTGACTATTATAGACTAAGCCATGTTAATAAGTGTAGTCTACCTTGGTTAGGAGTAGCTAGCGTGATAACTGCACCCGATGGTTATAGACGGCTTCGAATGACATACTTCGAAATCGTTTATAATGGTGTTGTACGTGAATTCATTCTATGTCCTACTCAAAAAAAGTCTAAGTTACTGAATTCATGATAATTGTTTATACTTCACTGATTATTATTTTCTTAAATTTATCATTTTACATCACCGCTCATAGTGTTACTACCAACAGTAATGGTATTTGTTAGTGGGACATAGACGGAATCAAAGCATGACTACGTTGCTGAGCGCTGATTGGCTAATTTCCTATCCAATCAGCGCCTAATCGACTCTTGGAGAACAGGGTAGAAAATTCTCGTATTGCTAACTGCGTGCTGATTGGCTAAATCTAATCCAGTCGATTACGTGAATTCCTATCCAGAAGCTTCTCATGTAAAATGCTTTACAGAAACTAACGTTGTATCTATTTTCGCCTTCGCCATCATCTATGGCTTCTTACTTTCCATTTAACCTTGCTAGTTGGAATAGAATCTTTTCCTGTTCCACCGTGTTCTTGATTCTTTGGAACTTATCCAGTGTATTGTAGTCAGAGAACTACTAAGCAATAAGAATTAGCTGGAAATTATTCAAGCAAGCGTTACAATAGTATTTGACTAGACAATCTGTGCTAATGAGGTATGCACACCTGAATTGATGTGCGTAAATGCAACAGACTGATTGATATAGACTGTAAGCAAATAAATGGCATAGATACACTAGGTCAACAAATTCCATTAGAAACAACTAACTGACAAACTGATGAAGTAATCAATAAGTGTTCTAAAATGCCATCTAACGAATAGACACTTTCATATTACACATCATCAATCAATTATTGTTAGACCACCGCGATTAGAATCCTGGAATCACTGTTTAGACAGCCGTTTCGTCCTAGTATATGAGACTCATCAGAGGCAGTGCACATTCACGACTCCTGTATCTCGCAGGATTCGAGCCCAGAATCTTTGGTCTTACACGCGAACGCTTAAACGAGATGAACATTATTAAAACTTCGTATGGCACTATTTAGAAAGAATTCTTCAGTTTTCTGCTTTGTTATTTTCCAGTAAGTTAATTTTCTATGGGATGGATGTCCGGGCTTGGGACCGGCTCCAAGTAGAGTTGACTTAACAAAACAAACTCATCTTCAATCACCACATATCTATCTACTTTCATAAATTTAAAAAAATCAAAATTAAGAATAGACTAATAATCAATAACTTTTGAAATCATGAATCGATTATCGTTAGACCATCATTAGAAGCCTGGACGGGCGTGTGTTTCCGAGACATTCACACCATTGGATGCCACCAGCTCAGTAGTCCAAAAGTTAAACGTTCATGCACGAGGCCGAATGTCCTATAGTTTGATTCTCGCGAGCAGGGGGGGTTGTGGATGCGCGCTGCTGATGAGTCCCATACTAGGACAAAACAAACATCAAGTGCTTCCAAGTTTCCAATCATACTCTAACAATGATCGATTCAAGTAGCTCAGCTCAGCAATCTCTCTACAACACACATTATTTCTTACATTGTTATCAATTGTTCTATGTTTAGACGAATCAATAGAACTACAAGTCCAACCTTCATCATCATCATCATCGTCATTATGATGAGTGTTCAATTGTTCAATTGGTTCAATATTTGTTACATTCAATGTGGAATGAATTTCTTTGGAATATTCTATATTATTAAATAATTGATTTAATTGTTCCGAAGTTGGTACCCATGTATCGAATTCTTCAATGGAACTGGCTAAATGACAAAGATATTCTAAACTAGTTGAACTAATTGTAGTGAAACTGTTATTGATTGATTTTGTTTTAATGGATGAACTATTAGTATTATTGTTATTGTGGGTGACGAAAGATTTTAAATGAATTGATTCTTGTGTATGTTGAATGCAAGTAGTGGAGGATAATTGAATATTGTTGTGAATGTTATCATCAAAACTATCTACTGGTTTGTTGCTATGATCAATCAGTTGATGATGTTCAGCATCTTCATGATTCATAGAATTAACATCGTCATGATCGTCATGATCATCATCATCATCGTCTGTTTGACTTGATTCAAGCCAATTAGAAATGTACTCATTGAGATCAGATGATTCTGAACAAGAAAAATAAGCGAAAAAATAGTTAAAACACGTTTTTTTTCTAAAAAATGGTGTCTTTAATAAACTAATTAAGTAGTCAACTGCATTCATTCATATATAACACCTTGTGGTATGTGTGCCAATATGTTGGCTTTTGAGAAGTTCACGTCACCAACTATGGAGCAAGCGAAATATCCATTTGTTGACTAAAAGAACGAGTGTATTGCGCAGAAATTTGCTCCGTTCTACTATACGAATGCGAAACATGACCGGTGAGAGTAGAGGACATTCGTAGATTGCTTGTCTTCGAAGCATTGCTCGTATATCCTGAGACACCTAAGTAAGCAATGATGTCGTTGGGAAACGAGTACTAGGTAGGAATGGCAAATCAATAGATGAAGTGGTGAAACTTCATCAGTTGAGGTGGTTGAGACATGTGTTGCGTGTATGCCTAACCACCGACTGCCTCGACAAGCTATGTTTTACGATATAGGAATAAGTTGGACGAAATCTAGGGGCGTCCAGACGAAAACAAGGCAGCAATCCATGAAGTCACTGACAAGTGGACTGAGTCATATCGATAGGTTTCGACTACCTGGTTAGGGTCCGCGAGATGATAGTAATCGATGGTTAGAGACCTTGAACGACATGGCTCAAAATCGTTTGCAATGGTGCAGGTGCATCCACTCTTTGTGTTCTCTCAAAATCCTAACCTTCTGAATTCCTCACCGTCTCTATCTTTCTCTTTCTAACTTTATCTCACTGAATTATACCTTAATCTTCTCCATTACTGCTAATACTTCTACTATCGCTACCATTATGGGATTTGAACTGACAGTTGCGTCTCTGTGCTAATGTGGTATGGCAACCTGAACTGATTTACATACATACGAAGTTCTGTGTTGCATCTGTCTGTATGTATGTCGGTGCCAATAATGTTGAGCCCATGTAACTTGTCCTAGCTTTCGACGAAACAAATTAACCTCTACTGATCGATTCATTACTATTCACTCATCTTTTGAATTTGTGTGCGTTTGCATTGCTTACTTTGCTTATTACATGTCTAGCTTATCTTCTTCGACTGACTATAAATATCTAATCATGATGCATTGCATTGAGTTGACTCAGTCGCCTTCTCCACGTCGATTTACTTTCTACGCTGCTTATTCATTCCCATGTCTCTCTCACTGTGTGTGTGTGTGTGTGAACGATTGCATGTAATAAACTCATTCAGGCGAATCCTTTTACCACTGTTTCACAAAACCTAAAAGGTCTCCCTGTTAGAAAATGAATCGATTTCTTGACCATACCCAGTTGGAAATAAGTATCTTACCCGCTTAGCCACTTCTGATTGGCTCAATTCGATGAATTTTCAACGCACAC